TACATGAATGCGCATCCCGTTGACATATTTTTACAAGATCAAATGGAATAAAACATTTGGCTGATGCCGAGCGAGAGAAAGTGAAATAGAGGAAGAGTGAGAGAGAGAGAGAGAGAGATGGAGATAGAGAGCGCCATAACAAGAGAAAGAGCGAAATAGCAAGAAAAATAATGCATCTGAAACCATTCAAAAAAGGCGGAAAGCGTAGAAAAACACGCAATATCATTGATCCCCATACGGAAGAGTGACGCTAATATAATTTCTTGGTAAAATTGAACTCATCATCTTTTCAATACTTCCCCTCATTCATCGAATCCGCAGACGGAAAGTTACGTCACCCTCACAAAAAAACAATGCCGAACTTCGTTGCAAAAAAGGAAGAAAAAAAACGAAGAGAATGGAATCGAAGCGCCGAGAAAAATTGCTGCAAAATTATTCAGATTTTCGATTTACGTTTCACTGTTGCTGTTTTAGTTTCTTTTTTTTTTGGTGGGACTTAGTCTTGGTTTTTGTGTGTAGTCAATGGCTGGACGTCACATGTTTCAAAATAGATTTGTGCATGTAATTCTTTTGACACCCCTCTGGTTCGGTACATTTGACACGCGTAAGATAACGAAAACAACAGTGGCGTCTGCCACCGCTGCACCGAGATCAACGGGAGAGAACGAAATGGAAATGCTATGGCACAACATGAACCATAAGGGATTCGTGTCATTTTATGCATTTTGATGTGCTTCGTTTTGGCTGTGTGTTCGCCATATTTTTTCCTCTGTAGTCCAACAAAAGACGATATGACTGTAATTCAATCGGAAATCAGATTAGAAATCCGTCGCATAGAAACTTATCGAACGAATAGAAGAAACGAAAAAAAAACCGAATCCCAAAAGAAAACGGCGAGAGACAAAGCCAAAAAGAGGGAACACAGAATTATTGATTTTATTCACTGGACAGACCCAACTAATGGATGGTGAAATTTAGATCAAAGCATTTTGGTAAGTGTATTCCAAAGATATCGCGCGCATCGATGTGGAAATTGCTGTCGAACCGCCATTTGGCTAATATTTACATGTGGCGGTGTGTTGTCTCAAGCACACAGCGTGGTGTACACAAAATACACACAGAGAGAGAGATATGCTTTGAAAAGGCGAAGCTGAAAAAAGACGTCAATTTTGCATGCATGCAAATTGATTGTTCGATGTTTGTTTTTCGCTGAGCTTAATGAAGAAAAAATGCAAAATAGTTTTCTACGGTCGCACACACACACGCACACCAAGTCAACATAATGGAGAAACTTTTGGCTTTGTTTAACACGAGTTTCCGTTTATTTTTCTCTTGACTGTAGAAAAAACAGCCATCGGGAGTTGAGCGTCGATTATTTGAATTTCAAAGTGGATCTTTGGCCCGATTGATATCAAAAACAAACTCTCTCTTGCTCGTTCTCACTTCCGGGTAGTTTTTAATTTGCCATTGAATGAGAAAAAACCAGCAACAACAACAACAGCGACTACGTTAAATTCAAACACATAAAAATTTTACGACACCTTTAAAACGAATGTGTGCTCAAATTGATTGGCATCGGAACGATACAAGCAGCCAGCATCGCATCGAAACAAAACCATTCGTTGGAGACAACGAAAGAAAAAAACACCAACCATGATCAAATCGATAGGACTCAATCGGGTGTGCGCTTTTTTTTCAGCTCGCTCTCTGTACGCAACATTTTTGCTTGCATCGCTTCAATCGCATTATGTAATATTTCAACGTGGAATTTTTTCCGATCTCTCTCTCTCTCTCTCTCTCTCTGTTATATGTTTTTGTTGCTGGCCAACTTTGAAGCTAGTGTGAGTATTGAACACCGTTTGAGCATACACAAGAATTAATTGAAAAATAACACCTCTACACGGGTCGTTTGTGCGCGTGGGCTGAAAATGTTTGTTTGACTGGCATTTCGGTGGTGCCACCAGACCGAGGTAGGAGGTGGTGGTGTGGTGGTACTTGCTAATAACAAGCTGAAAACCACCATCGAATGTTATTTCGTTATTGTGTCCGATCAATGGATTCAATATTCAAATGCACCAGCAAACACCATACACACACACACTCACATGCAAATGTCACTAGAATTTTATAATGATTAAAATTGTAACGTGGACACGATCTGAGGCAAAAGGAAAACGTTCATGCATAAACACACACATGGCGGCAGAAAAAAAAACTGGGCAACGAAAACATTCAAAAAGGGCACATGCGGATTCCGATTTTTTTTTTCGTATTCATCAGCGGTGTCGTTGTTGCTGGTTTCCTACGCTTTGTTTTTATTATCGATGTTGGCATTTTTCGTAACATCACCATGTCTTTTTTTCCATGCTGGTGCATTGCATTTGGTGTTGGTAAAAAAAAGTATGCATAACACAAAATAATTTATCGGCAGTTGCGGAAAAAATGGTCGAAAATTCACGATAATGAACGAGTGGGCTCGAGTCAATGTTATCTTCAATGTGTGCGCGAACCAAAACTTTTAATCCGTTGCGAGTGGGAAAAAAATGCGGTTTTTGTCCTTCAAAATTGATGGTGGTCAGTGTGTGTGTGTGTGTGTATTTGGGGGTCACATTTGTATTAAATGTATTGCCAAACATTTGCAACGAAGGTGTCGTCAAGACTTTTGTGGAAAAATTTCGCAATGAAATCAAGCTCAGATGTATGCAGCTAATGCTAATCCTATTATGGGCGATAAATTTCGGAATTGCCATTCGAGAAACAGAAAAAAAATTACGAACCGAGTAAAACAAAGCATTTTCCAGAACAATGGCGCTACACAACTGTACTTTAATCGATTATCGCCAGCTAAATTCGCTGGCATTGGGTGAAAAACTCAGTCAAAAAAAACAGCGCAAAACAAAAACGAGATGTTGGTTTGTTTTCACGGTATTGGATTAAAAAAGGCGAAAAAAAATGCGATGCGAACGGGGAAAAAGCTGTAATTTCTTCGGTTGGAAGCGTGCATTTGAATATGGTGCTGCTTTGCAGCGATAATATTGAGTGACAAAGTGTGCAAAGAGATGATATTGATGTGGTCAAACAGCGTATTTCACACGCGTGCACACATACACTGTTTACCCATACGCACATATCTCTACGTGTTTACGTGGCCCAAACTGGATTTAAATGATAATCTCGATTCGGGTTGCAACTTGGTTATTTTTTGTTCGTCATCGTCGACGTCTTTGTTGTTGTTGTTGCGGAAAATGAGCCGGGAAAAAATGCATTAAAATTATTTTCGATCCACACCAAAAATAAACCACTTGCCATTGTAATGGAGAGGCGAAACGGCTGCCAAATGCAGAAAAATGCGTGAAAATATGAAGAGTGAAATGAATGAGCGATAAAAAAATGTGGCGTTTTTCACGCTTCATAATGGACATTCATGTAATTGTCTAGTCTCGCGATCTCGCGTTCATTTTGTGGATAAAAATCGCGCGCGCGTATATGTGTGTGGCTGTGGATATTTTGTCAATAAAATTGACCGCGGAAAATTTTTCGAATTTAATTGGATTTTTTCACCAACTCACACTGTTTGAAAACAAAGCCCAATCGATTGGTTTGTTGGCTACATATTCGGATGACGTCATGTATTACCTTTTTGTAAATTGCGGATTGTGCGGTTGCTGACGGAAGTGCTCAGGAAATGCGTAGCTGCATCGAGAACCAGATCGGATGAACGGATACGCGAACCGGTTTGGATAACCGTATCCAGAGTCTGTTAAAAACAAACAATGATTTAGTGAAAATGCAAAAAACAAACCGCTTCAAAAGTGAATCAAATTTTGAAATGAACAAAGAAACAGATCATCATCCAAACAGAAGCGCATTCGATATGCATCTGGTTTCTTGTTGCTCGTCAGTACAAAGTCTTGCGTCAAGACACTTGCGACCAATAAAATAAAAATCAAATCAAATAAACTACACCATAATCAAAACAATGCTGAAAGCGTTTTGTGTAATAAAGCCGCGGCGACAGAGCCGCAATCCAAATGATTTAGTTGTCGCCATTAAACATGCCGTTCGAAGTTGCGACCATTAAATGGTGGTGATGTGTATTTGGGAAAATTGTTTATGCTTATCGTCCTCGAATGAAACTGAAAATAATGTGCCTTTGTTTTTGAGTCGTTGCTACCGATAGACCGACCGACCGACACATGAATCATGGATGAATATTTGATTGTTATAAACATCGTAAAAAACGGGCCGAACACAACAAATGTTTCGAATGTGCGTGATGAAGGCGGCTTCCGATTTAATTTCGCTCTTTATTACACTTGGTTTGACTGCGGAAAATGTGATGCCTCGCGACGCATCATCGTCAAGCAAGAGAGTGAGGAGACATACAAGGCACAGCAGATGAGAGAGACAGAGTGTGTGTGACCAAATTGGGATGCGCACGCGGTTGTTTATCATTAAAATTATGAAATGCATTGTGGAAATGAGGGAGTAAATCACGGCGAATGCGACTTTGTTTATTTATGGCGCCACAATTTAGGCATGTGGATGGGTTTCACAAACACAACCATTTCAAATGAGCAAGAGAAAAAAATCTCAGAAAATGAAATAATGAAAACAAGGAAGAAAAACACAGAATATTGAACGAACAGATAAACTTACTTCTTGGTTCCCGTGGCTCAACCATTCTGACTTCGGTTGCATTGCTGTAAGTGGCGATTTGTTCACGGATCGAATTTGTTTACCTTTGGAAGAGCAGAATCAATTCTTGTTGGTAATCAGATGAACGATAATAATGGAGACTGATTTGATTTGGCTACTGCGGTCAACATATATCATAAGTCGTTGAATTAACACCAATAATTTGAGGCCTTATTCCAACTTACGGAGAATCTCCTTCAGGATCGTTATTTCCTTCACTATCGGCTGAAATGATAAATTACTATTCCCTAGTCACTGAAAATGTTTGCGCTGAACAACAGAAAAAACACTTGGATGTTTATTTTTAATTGATCATATTTTGAATTTTATTGGTTTTTTCTCTTGAGTGATCTATTCCACTAGTTTTGTCCCATTGTTTCGAAAAATAAAAAATATCTTTTTTGTAGAATATAATTTACTAAAATCTAGTTAACAATATATTATTTTGTATTTACATCGAATTACTTCCAAAACGAAAATATTTGGTTACAGAGAATGAGATTAATTACACGCTTACACACTAGGGCTACATTAATTTTTGCACTTAAATTATATATACATTTATCTACATCATTCATTAGACTCGCCAAGGGTATGAAGTTGCACTTTTTTTTCTGCGACGTAAAAATGAACACTCTTTGATACAAAAAAAAAACTTTCAATAACCGCTTCCAAAATAAAACACTAAAAAAAATCAACTGAATTGATTGCACTGCGCTTTTTTGTCTGGTTTTTTAATACGGTCTCCAAACGGTTTTTTGTGCGCTAATCGGTGATTTAATTTTGGTTTCAGGTGATCGTGGGCCAGTTGGTGCGGTTTCATGTACGGGTTTACGAGATGATGGAGCTTTTAAATCGCAACGGATTCGTGGGCTGGTGGCGTCAGTTTGATCGGTGATAGTTGTTGAATCGGCAACGCCAACAATCGATTGAACGGATGGATTTGGTCGTAGGATTGGCACAAATGCGGATTTAACAACATCGATTTGTTCGTCGTCCGATTCCTCGGATTCATTTTCGATGGAGATGTTCATTTTAATTGGGTCGCTGTGTGCTGACGATGGTGGGCTCGATGAAGACGGCCGCGATGATGTGGGCGATAAACGTGATGTGCTCAAGTGCTCAGGCGTACGAATGATGGTGGATTCGGATGGCAGGCTTGTGGTGTGTTGCATTGAGTGGATTGGACGTCCGTTCATTGAAACACCACGTAAACTGGCCAAATCGTATGGCAAGAATGGATTTTTGCACAAGAGTTCTGGATGTGCGAACGGATGGAATGGCGATGGTAGGTAGGCGCCTGATCGTGCTACTGTTGCGGATTGTTGAGGGATTATGGTAGCTGTTGAATGTGTCAATTGGATGGCTGGTTGTGTTGGGGGCATCGTTTGCATTGGATTAAATTCACTGCCGAGTGTCGGTGGCAGTACTCCGGCTGGTAGGGCTCCTGGCAATGGTGGCGATACTATGATGGAAAGGAAGAAAAAACAATCGATTGATTAGTTTTATTGATTCATGGTTTCAGTTTTTTTTTCGTTTCAAATTTCTTGGGGAAATATAAGTCGTTTTTTTTAATACGAAAACTTTGAACAAATGTTCGAATTTTTTTATGTTGAATTCTTTATCTACTTTTAGTTAAATTGTTGATATTTACCTTTAGCGAATTGTGGATTGTGTGGCTGTTGACGGAAGTATTCTGGGAATGCGTAGCTCATGTAGGCAGCGTCGAGCCAGCCTGGGTTCAACATGAATGGATGTAATCCATTTGGATGACCATATCCAAAACCTGATAAAAAATGAACAAAAAAATTGAGTTAGTAAAAATGCGAAACTAAAAAATTCATTCAAATTTGAGCAAAACTTGGCAAAAACGATTTCGATTAAATAAACAAAGATCATGCAAACTGAAGCGCATTTAATGCGCAACCAGTATTTTCTATACTTTTTCGAAACAAAAAATCAAAACATGAGAAAAAAAACTTACTCTGCTTACTTCTAGGTTCGCGTGGTCCGTCCACGGTGACTTTGATTGCTTTGCCGTATGTGGCAATTTGTTCTGGAATTGAGGCCATTGTTTGTTGGTTGACCGATGGTCGAATTGTGATTGTGACTGTGAATGATTTTCCACGACCGCTTCGTCCCACAAATCGTAAATCATTGAATTTGGCAACGCCGTTCTTCAACATAGCCAAATTGTTTCGCAGTTCAGGATTGTAATTTTCTTCATTACCGGCTGAAATGATCACTTCCGTATTGTCGGGAACTTCGTAATCCAATACAATCACTTTGAATGCACATGGCAGACTTTTGTTGCTGCGCCAATGTGTTGGCAATGTTGAGCACAAAATCATTGGCGAACCAGTTTGCACTAAATCACCGTGACACTCTTGCAACACATTCAATAAATTTGGAAACATATCGTTCAACATGTTTGATTCGCTTTGCGCTTGCAGTTGCTGTGATGATGACGACGTACTGTTTGTTGATGGTGATGATTGTGTTGCTGGCAAATGCATTTTGATAATTTTTATTTTTCTTTTTTCAAACACAGAAAAGTCTTGCAAAAAATTGCTTCTTTTTGATCACTTCAATTTTTCGGAAAAAATCACTTGATTTTCTCTCTTTTAATCAATGAATATTTTCATTTGAGTTCTGGATTTCGTTTTTTCTTTTCCAAAATATCTCGTTAAAACTTTCGATAATTTATCTTCACTCAGAAAATGAATCGCTGTTTAAAAATATCGCTAAGTCCTCGTTCTGGATTGAATACTGTTGTAAGTAAATTGAAAACTTGCGTAAAAATGTTCACATGTGCTTACACCGCAAGATCTCAGATCGAACTGATTTGTAAAATTGTGCGACTGGCAATATCTAGAGTTTTTCCTCGGATATAAAAACTCGACACGCATACGAACGTCTCACACACACGCTTACGCTAAATAAAAACCCAAACGAAGTATTCGAGACGAAACGCCGTATTGGAAAGCTGACCGAGAGTGAGAGAGGAAGAACGAACGAACGAACAGAAAAAAAACAACGTGCGAAGCGCATACCAGAAACTCCGAAAGAATACACAAAGCACACATTTTTAATACATACATTTTCATTTTTATTTGTTCTATTTGAACTGACTAACACACAAAGAGACACACTCACTCTCCGTCTCCGTTTCTATCTACGCACTCACACACACAATCTCTCTCCTCTTTTCCACCCGATACACTCTCTTTCTCCTCAGTTGCTGCTGCTGCTGCTGCTGCACACATCAGGCATTTTTTGGCCTGTACGTGCTACGTATATCCTTTTGTACGACCGGGTTGCTACGTTGGTGCGAATGTATCGGTGCATGCACATTTTGGTTACCATACAATTTTTTTTTTGCTCGTTCTCTTCCTTCTCTTCTCGGTCATACAAACACGCATCATTTTTAAAAACCAACACAAACAACCCTCTTGCATTGCACACAGGAAAAATGTTTCAAGCCCCCTTTTTTCATTCAGAAAAAAAAGTTCGAATTCGGTCTGGGCACGCAAGTGTATGAGTGCATGAGTTTTATGGAAAATCATCAGCAGCAGCAAATGTGGCAAATGTGTGTGTGTGTGTGAACATGTATTGGTGACATGTTTGTTCGAAGGCTGCGGTAAAGTCGAACCCTCTATTTTGCGTTTTACACTCTTTTTTTCGACTGTGTGTGCCTTTCGCATTCGTTTATTCCTCGTAAAAATGTGTGACGTACTTTCATCTCTTGCACACATTTGTCAACGCTGTCGTTGCGATCAACGCGAGCAAACAGGATAGTCGACAATGGAATATAAAAATGCAACCGAATGGAATGGAAAAAAACGAAGCCAGCGGAGAAAAAAGTACATGTATTGGCACACCGACACACAGACAAATCCACTCTATGCCAACACTACTACGACCGAACACTGTGTATGCAAATCCAAACAGAAATAACCGCCTCTTACCGCTGCTCCGATCCGATCCGATTGTTTTATTATTGTTGATGCGAATACGAGAGAGAGAGAGAGAGAAACCAAATCAAACGATGGAAAAAATGCGACGATTCAAATGTAAACCGCGTTGATTTTTCAATTTTTATGTGCAAAAATGGAATTGCATAAAATTGAGAACAGATCCTACACAATTTGGTGGCTGTTTTTCGTCTTGAAACTGATGATTCCCTCTAATAAGATTATAACTTTACTTAAAATCATAATATGCGATAATCATCAATTGTATTTCGTATTGTATAATTTTTTGCCATTAAATCCACGACTCAGTCGGACTGAGCGTATTTTCCATGAAGATAACATTTATTTCGCTTTAGGAGCTATCTTCATCTTCTTTGTAATTGAATTGCTTGAACTGTCCGTTCATTAAATCGTTGCATTTCACTAATGCATTTCCAGAGAAAGAGCAAAAAAAAATCCAATTTCAAAGAATTTTACTGCCAAAAAAAAAATATGCCAAGAGAAAAAAAAAAACAACACATTGCTGGGCAATCGAACAAACCGAAGCGAAAATTGTTGTGTGTTTTGGATTAGAGAGACGGGAAAAAGAGCGAATGAAAAATATGTGGAATGTGTTGAAAGCGCGCGCGGGAACGCGCGTTTACGACGGTGAGATATTGTGGTGTGGACGCGCGGGGAGGGCGTTTGTATGTGTGCGAATGTAAGATAAAGACATGGAAAATTCGTATTGGAAAAAAGGCGTGTGTAAAGCTTGGCATTCGTTGTTTCGTTCTTTTTTTTCTCTATTCGTTTGTTCGTTCATTCTGGCTGCGTCTGTTGGTTTTTCTCTTTGCGCTTTCTCTCTCTCTCTCTCTACGGTCGGTTTGTTTGCTTTCTTTGAGTTTACATTCGAAGAGTTAATCCGTGTGTATATCACACCGAGCAGTGCGGTGATATTCCACTTTTTCATGCTCTCATCCATTCCCGTTTGTACGTTCCGTTCCGTTCGTTTGCTACTTTTGGTCGACGAATCTATTAATACAGCATTTATACCTTCTATCCAATGATATACATCTACAGGCACAACGCTATATGGCTACGTTTCACTATACAATTTGAACTAGACGCGCGCCGTGTGTATGCGTTGTTCCTGTTCACATTCACAGCCAACCAAACATATCTATATACAACAACAGACACACAAAACTCTGTGGCAAATAGAACGCAACCAAATCGGTAAGAGACATAGACATGAATTTCCCGCCCACAATTGTGGCACATTTTATGCCACAGCAATACACCGCACATTCTACCCTCAAGACGACCAAACAATCTGTTTCGGTAGGGAAAAAAAAGAAGATTGTAACTATGCTCTCTCGCTCTCCATGGATGTGCACTGTGCAGTACTTTTGCAGCAGTTTGCTTCTTTGCTAACCGCGTCTCTTTCTCCACCATCACCGCTGTCACCCCGTTGCCTCGCGTTTATTCGCGCCCGTTCGCTCTCTCGACAACGTTTTCTTCGTTTTGTTTCAGTCGTTTTGGCACAATTGCCACGAGTATATGCACATATGGATATGCTACAGCTATGATATGTTGAGAATGCTCAACAGAAGAACAGACGCATGGCTCTTTTTTTGCGACGAACGTTTTTATATCGTTGGGGATTCGCATGTCGCTTTTTGACATACGCACAATGTGCTCTTTACTGTTTGCCACATTCAAAACGCATTCGTATAAATTATAGGGTTTAATATCGACTTCAGAATATAGCGACGATTGTTATTGCTGTAGGGTACTTCAAATAAATCGACGTTTCCGATTCGTTTTTTCTTTTGCTTTTTCGTTTTTTCTACTTCATTTTTATTATTTTTGCGTTCTTTGTTTTTCTCTAGGAAAAATTGAAATGATTCAAATTGCTGATTTTCCAAATGAAATGGCCAATTCAATATGGATTAAATGAGCCTGGAAAATTGTTCTAAATTTTAAAAAAATGTAAATGAAACTGTGATAATTCTTAACTTATAACAGTAAATATTTTTTTATTTATTTCCAACAATTTAATTGATTTTGCCCGCAAACAAGTCGAGCAAATATTTTTCATCAATAAAACAATATATACAATCAACAGTTCGTTTGTTTTCGAAAAAATCACTCTATAAAAACTCCAAATAAATTTGGTCATGTAGCAAACTACAAAAAATGTTCAAACTTTGAATCATTGTTCAAATCGTCTCATTAAAAAATCACAAAATATTGAACTATTGAAAAAACCTTATGTTCGACTGCGATTTCCATTAATGAAAATGCTGCTTCTTAATACCATTTACAACTGGTCGAAGAACAAACTTCGTCTCTCGTCTGGAATGCGATTACAATAAATATTTGCGATCATCGCATCAAAAAGTCTAAATGGATTAACACTTTCAGTCTAGTTGAAACAATGGCAATATAATAATAATGGTGCTGTGTTTTTAATTGCATTTCGAAAGGATTAAATGCCCATTCGTTAAGGCTATTGAGTTAAAATTAGTACGGTCTCCAAACGGTTTTTTGTGCGCTAATCGGTGATTTAATTTTGGTTTCAGGTGATCGTGGGCCAGTTGGTGCGGTTTCATGTGTAGGTTTACGGGATGATGGAGCTTTCAAATCGCAACGGATTCGTGGGCTGGTGGTGTCAGTTTGATCGGTGATGGTTGTTGAATCGGTAACAATCGATTGAACGGATGGATTTGGTCGTAGGATTGGCACAAATGCGGATTTAACAACATCGATTTGTTCGTCGTCCGATTCCTCGGATTCCTTTTCGATGGATATGTTCATTTTAATTGGGTCGCTGTGTGCTGACGATGGTGGGCTCGATGAAGACGGCCGCGATGATGTGGGCGATAAACGTGATGTGCTCAAGTGCTCAGGCGTACGAATGATGGTGGATTCGGATGGCAGGCTTGTAGTGTGTTGCATTGGGTGGATTGGACGTCCGTTCATTGAAACACCACGTAAACTGGCCAAATCGTATGGCAAGAATGGATTTTTGCACACGAGATCTGGATGCGCGAACGGATGGAATGGCGATGGTAGGTAGGCGTCTGATCGTGCTACTGTTGCGGATTGTTGAGGGATTATGGTAGCTGTTGGTTGTGTTGGGGCCATCGTTTGCATTAAATTAAATTCACTGCCGAGTGTTGATGGCAATGCACCTGGCAATCGTGGCGACACTATAATGGAAAGAAAAAAAGAAGAAATCGATTGATTAGTCTTTCTTGTAGAAATTCAAATTTTTCTCCTTTCATTACTAGAACTTCAAACAAATGTTTGTATTTGTTTTTCACATATGAGAATAAATTGTTGCTTAAAATATTGATATTTACCTTGGGCGAATTGCGGATTGTGTGGCTGTTGACGGAAGTATTCTGGGAATGCGTAGCTCATGTAGGCAGCATCAAGCCAGCCTGGGCTCAAAATGAATGGATGTAATCCATTTGGATGACCATATCCAAAACCTGATAAAAAAACAAACAAAAAAATTGAGTTAGTAAAAATGCAAAACAAAAAAATTCTTTCAAATCTGAGCAAAACTTGGCAAAAACGATTTCGACTAAATAAACAAAGATCATGCAAACTCAAGCGCATTTAATGCGCATCCAGTATTTTCTTTTCTTTTTCGAAACAAAAAATCAAAACATGAGAAAATAAACTTACTCTGCTTACTTCTTGGTTCACGTGGTCCGTCCACGGTGACTTTGATTGCTTTTCCGTATGTGGCGATTTGTTCTGGAATTGAGGCCATTGTTTGTTGGTTGACCGATGGTCGAATTGTGATTGTGACTGTGAATGATTTTCCACGACCGCTTCGTCCCACAAATCGTAAATCATCGAATTGGGCAACACCGTTTTTCAGTAGGGCCAAATTCTTTTTCAATTCGGGATCGCAATTTCCTTCATTACCAGCCGAAATGATCACTTCCGTATTGTCGGGAACTTCGTAATCCAATACAATCACTTTGAATGGACCTGGTAGACTTTTGTTGCTGCGCCAATGTGTTGGCAATTTTGTGCACAAAATCATTGGCGAACCAGTTTGCACTAAATCACCGTGACACTCTTGCAACACATTCAATAAATTTGGAAACATATCGTTCAACATGTTTGATTCGCTCTGCGCTTGCAGTTGCTGTGATGATGACGACGTACTGTTTGTTGATGGTGATGATTGTGTTGCTGGCAAATGCATTTTGATATTTTTATTTTTCTTTTGAACCAGAAAAGTCTTGCAAAAAATTGCTTCTTTTGATCACTTCAATTGTTCTTTCGGAAAAAATCACTTGATTTTCTCTCTTTTAATCATTGAATATTTTCATTTGTTTTCTTGGTTTCGTTTTTTCTTCTTCAAAATTCCCGTTAATACTTTCGATAATTTATCTTCACTCAGAAAATGAATCGCTGTTTAAAAATATCGCTAAGTCCCTGTTTTGTACTGAATAAGTGAGTAAAACGAAAGCTTGAGTAAATATTGTCACATGTGCTTACACCGCAAGACCTCAAATGGAATTGGTCTGTAAAATTGTGCGACTGACAATATCTACAGTTTTTCTTCGGCCACAAAAACTTAACACCCATACGAACGTCTCACACACACTCTTACACAAAACAAAAACCCAAACGAAGTACTCGAAACGGAACGCTGTATTGGAAACCTGGTCGAGAGTGAGAGAGGAACGACGAATGAACGAAAGAGAAGAATGTGCGAAGTACACTCTGAAAGAAAACAAAAAGTGCAGTTTTGCATACATTGTCATTTTTACTTGTTCTTGTTTGGCTTACCATGATACATAGAGCAGAGCAGCCCCGAGCCGAGTCAGGCCGAGAGACATACTCTCTCTCGATCTTCATCTTCATCTCCGTCGATTTGTTTTCGAAAAAAAAAAACACTCCGTAATCTGGTCACGTAGCAAACTAGTAAAAATGCCCAAATTTTGAACAATGGTCCAGATCGTCCAATTGAAAAAACTAAGTGTTTAAGAAAAAAAAACTGCATAAAACATGTTCGACGGTGACTTTCATTAATGAAAGTGTTGCTTCTGGGATTAAATACGAAGTCGTTATTCCAATGTTCATTCGAACTTTACGACTATAATTCCGACGAAAAAAGTACTCTTTTTACTCGGTTCAATGAATATATTCGCTACTGCAAATAATTTCTCCATAAATGTGTCTTGCCTAAAAAAACATGTTAATGAGCAATGAGCATTCATTTGATCAACTTTTCATTCATTACAATATATACCCATTCAATTTCAACACACAAAGTTCTCCATCAGTCCGGGAGACAATGATGTCTCGGCCTTTTACAACTGGTCTAAGTAAAGTCTCCTACATCTCTCGTCTCGAATGCGATTACAATTTCTAAGCCGAAGATATTTGCGATCATCGCATCAAACATGCATCAGATCAATAGATCCAAAATATGGATTAACACTTTCAATCCGGTTAAAACAATAGTCAAATCTACCTGAGCGCTGTGTTTTAAATTGCATTTCGAAGGATTAAATGTCCATTCATTACGACTATTGAGTTGAAATAACGAGATTAAAAAAATATGCAAATTTTCGAATGAACACCGAAGAAGAAAAGAGGAAGTGAAGAGCGATAATCCGAAAAGATACCTACTTTACCTACTTTGACATCATGGCATAGAATTTGTAGTAGTTTTGTTGAAATATAGTAAAAGCGAATCGAAAATTCGTATATTCATCAAAATACTACAAAATTTGGCGAAATCACGTGGATTTCATTTGACGCAGATTGATTTCCCGAAATGACACTTTGTCGGTTGGAATGGCCGTTAATTCATCGGAATTCTGTGAATTGACCGGAGAGAGGGAAACAGAGAAAAGATATTGGTGGATCATAAAAGCGTCCCATTTTGAACATGAACCTTTGCATTCTATTCGCATTTTCAAGCAATAAAAGTTTTATTTGAGCCACGAAAAAAAAGTTCTTTTATGAGCCGGTCATATTTTTTCATTTTTTTTTCTTCCTTTTGCCGTATTCATTTGTTGTGCGTGTGTATGTGTCGGTTGGTTTTATTTGATCTTCATTCATCTGCATGTATGCCATTGTGCTGTGTTTCGGGGCTCGATGTGTGCCAGCATTTTGGCCAAATGGAAATTCTAGTGAAAATTATCAAGTCTCTACTCGGGCCACCGCATACATGACCAAATGCGAAACCACCGGCACAAAGAAACAAAAAATGCCACACTCATTATGTGAATACAGTCGAATATTTTATTCCAATGAAACACACAATTATACTGGTGTCTACAGCTTGTTGTTGTTGTTGTTTTTGGGCGAAAAAAAGCCAAGCGGAAGAAAATATTATTTCTAGTCGAAGCGAGAGAAAGAGACTGCATGAAAGATGCAATGTATGTGCGTGCATTTCTCTTGCGGATGTTTTGCATGTATTTGCTTTGGTTTATGAGCATGTCCTTGAGCTGTGGCTGTCGTAAGCCATTCAAATGTTGAGGGTGCATACATTTTTTTTTTGGCCGAGCTAAGAACAACGAAAAGACGAAATGTTTTTTTGTGGCTTTTATCGCTTCGGATATTTCAAGGAAAACACACACAAAACAATACCCTCCAATTACCACAACCATTTTTAATGGCTTTCAAATGTTTTTTTTTCGTCTTCTGCTTCTACGTTCGATACAGGAAAAAAACGAGATGTTCGGTGACACCTTATTGTTGAGTGGTGGTTCGACACTCTTGCTTTTTTACTCGATGACACTTTTATTTTTGTAGAAAAAAAACAATCGCAACGTATTTTTATAGGAAAAAAGTCATTTCCGACAAAAAAAGAAACAGCCAAATCAAACAACAGACGACACTTTCCTGCTATTAATTATTGCCCATAGCATAAAATATGTTTCATTTTTTTAGCGAAATTGCCAGCGGCCTAAGCGATTCATTGGGGTTTGAAAAGGGTGTGAAAACATTAAACGTGGCAAACACTTTTCGCTCTCATTATGACGGTTATCAAAATCGAAATCTTTAAAATAAATTCAAATCAAATGTGACTTTAATGAGGATTTTTGTCAGCTTATGAATTGCAAATAGTGTGAATTGTGTGCACGGTCAATCAAACCAACGCGCTATAAAGCTAGTTCAGTAGTTGGCACACATGTCGAAGCATTTAATTGAAAATCACACACGGCCAACTCGATTCAATCTCAGCACAGCATAATATTGAGTCATCCGGACTGTGTGTGCATTCATATTTCATATTTATTTTCTCATTTTGCGTGCGTTCTTCTTATTTTTTTCTCTCTGTGTTTTTTCCCCGACCCGGGCTCGTGTTGAAATAAATTTTTGTAATCTGTCGTGTCACACGTGGCAATAATGATAAAGCCTCCGAAATATATTTATTCCATCCTATACGTGGTGTATGTGTGTGCGTTGTCCGTGCGGCGCGCAACGCTCTCGATCGTTTTGTGAAAATAGTCGTCGTCGGGCGTGACGTCATTAACATTTATTAAAAGTGCTTATGCGTTTAAATGGTTTCAAGCAATGGATTCTTCAGCGCGCTCGTTCACAAAATTCACAGTTTGCCCTTTGAAATGCAATGCTAGGGACGAAAAAAGATCACAGTTTATAAAGAGAATGAGAAAAGAAAAAAGAATAAATCATAAATTCGTTGTGTCGCCCGAAATCGACGAAAATATAGAAATGAACATATCAAAAGAGTAGCAAAAGACCACACAAACCATCTAACCCTATGATTTTTTGGAAATGGCATTTTTCGAAACGTGCTGTTTCACCGATTTTCATCGCGACAAGGCATACAGAGAGAAAAAAAAGAACCCATTCCAAGCGCGTTGCTGGTTACATATTTGGCATTCGACTATAAATGGAATGTTATTTAATGTGTGCTCAAATGATGTATACGAAATGTGTTTTATGTTTTTTCCCGAGAGCCGAAACAAAATAAACCGCGTTCGAAACCCATTTTTTAAACGAATCTCATTTCTGATTTAGGAATCGCGCAATTCTAACAACAAAATGTAAACGAACGCATTCCAAACTAGTTTCGCCTTTGTTCGGTGGAGAAAAAAAGTCGTTAAGTCATTTAATGTACGCGGTATTTGAAATTTTGTACAATGGTTTACCTAGGCCATTAACGAAAATGCGATACCCTAGGATAATGATTAATTTTTCGCATTGAAGCAAACAGAAGTCATCAATTATTTAGGAAATATTAATGGACTTTTTACGAAAACAAAAACAGACAAACTCATTCAAATATTCCAGGTGATTTTGATGATCCGTTGTTCGTTAAAAAAAATAGAACAAATAAATGTTTCACCAGTGTTAATTGCCAGTTGGCCAAAACGTCGGTTACCCTTTTTGGAAAATATATTACAGCTCACGAACAAATTTGCCGCCGACAAAAAGTGAGATACAAATCGAATTTGCCTGAGAATAATGGTCACGGAAATCTATCCAGTGTTAATCTATTGATACACACAAATTGGTGTGTCCTTTTGATACATTTCGGGTGCATATCACTTAAATCGAGCAGCCGTGCCGTCATAAGCATAATACCGAACAACGACCTGTAATCAAATGCCGATTCGATTAAGTAGGCCATTAACTAGCACTCAATAAAAAAAAAACATACGAAAGTGTATCAAACAAAATAAGAGTCCTTATTTTGCTATAAACAGCATACTTCAGCGTCCATTGCCAACAATGGAAATTACCATAATGCTAAGGTACTTTTCCAAAGCCCGAAAAACCGGGAGAAATGCCATGAATGAAAGACGCTGAAAAAAAGAGAAACGATACCCTCCGACACACAAATCGGAATCAACAGTTGATAATGTATAATATCAACATCTTTTGAGTGTGTCGTTTATTCGAGTGCGTACGTTGATTGAATACCGTATAAATTGCCCGGGCTTACAGCATGCCAACTGGATAAAGACACACGGAGAAAAAACGATGTCGACAACAACAATAACAACAGAAGGAAAAAATATCTCGATCGAGAGAAAAAAAAAACAGCAACAAGGAGGTGAAGGCAAGTTAAGATGTTAAGAAGATTTATGTGAATTTTCCTTTTTTTTCCACTGCTTTGTT